AAATTCGATTCCATTAAATTATTTCGACATCATCTATTCCGTTTCGCCACCACATAATTCGGTACTACACTTCCATGTAACTCGACATCAATTTCATTTCTCAAGAAATCAAGTCAATTAAATAAATTGGTATTAATATTTGAATTCAAAAAAAAAAAAAAAAAAAAATAAAAAAATAAAAAAAACACTACAAATGTACATTAGAAAAAAGTAAGTCAAAATGGAAAAACATTATGCAAAATAAAACATTACTATTGTACATTTCAAAAGTCAAAATGAAAATGTTAATATAACACATTTTTACGCGATTTTTTTGGATATTATCCTTTTCGGAGAGGAGACAATTCCGAATTTGTATGAATCGTTAAAATCAGTCCAGCGGTTCTTAAGTTATAAGCGTAGTAACTAACACAACTTTCTTTTATATATATAGATATATATATATATATATATATATATATATATATATATATATATATATATATATATATATATATATATATATATATATATATATTGTGCATAACATACATTAAATTGTAACAGATTTTTTCTCTCTGTCCGAATTTCATTGACAAACATATCGCATTGGGTGCATCAAATATGTAAAATAGGCCAAAAATATATATGGGAGCTACATCCAAATCCGAACCTTCTTCTTCTACTATATCTATAAAAGATGAAAATTGTTTGTAATTTATGGACCCGAAACCCGCAGAACAGATTTTCCCGAAGATTGCCAAGTATACTACAACATCGCCTGAAAGTAACATAGGCTATATAAATTTTTATACCTTACAACATTATGTAACACCTCGAAATATTGGTTTCCACCATAGGAAAGTATATATGGATCTTCCTATCTCGCCGAGCTGAGTCGATCTAGCTATGTATGTCCGTCCATCGGTCTGTCCATGTTAATTTGTAATCACTCTACCGGTCGCAATTATTGCCCGATCCTCACGAAATTTGGAATGGAGGTGGGGCTAGGGCCAGAATAGAAGCCTATTGCTTTTCGGTATGATCGCGTAATATTTAACTGACAAAATTATTGATTTTGCAGTTGCTCTACGTGTTGTAATTATAGAAGAATCGACGCGGAAGATAGCATGGGGCTAGAGCTTAGGACTGGGCAGAAGCCTTCCAATTTTGATGGTCATCAGGTCTATTTAGTGGGTGAAAAAGACCATAACATATGTGTTAAATAAATATTAAATCATTTTTTATTTATTCATATTTTTATCGCCACTACACCTCTACTTTTGTGTGAAAAATACCAGCATTACTTTCAGGCGATATCCGAAATACACAAAAGGCGAACTTAGGGGTTCAAATGAACCAAAAACAGAAAAACATTTCCTGATCACACAATAGTAGCCAATTGATACACCTGAGAAGAGAGTTAGGGACAGGGAAGAATTCTAGCATTTTGGATGACCATTGGATTATATTTAGCTGGGCAGTGCTCCGTGACATAATTTCAAAGGCGAAATCTTCCAAAATGGATTTGGACATGAGGGGGCTTCTAACATATTGTAGTGTTGTAGGGCATCACATAGTCGGCCCGCACGGCAACAAAGTATATACATTCTTGATCAGCGTAAAATTGTAAGTCGATTTAGTGATGTCCATCTGTCTGTCGGTTGTAATCACGCTATCTTTCGAATGAATTGAGATAGATGGCTAAAATTTTGCACACATGTTTATTTTTTCAGTATGCAGGTTAAGTTCGTAAAAGGGCCATGTAGGTCCACGCTTTCATATAGCCCCCATATAACGGTACCTCCCGATATTCGTTATTTTGATAATTTTAGCGACATTATTCACGGGAATTGTTTCAAATTTGGTATTTGAAGTTCAAAATGGATACTACTTCCTAAGATAGAAAATTGTCTGTGCAGGTCCACGTCTTCGTACAGCCCCCATATAACGGTACACCCCTATATTCGGTATTTTGATGATTTTAGCGACATTATTCACCGGAATTGTTTCAAAATTGGTATTTGAAGTTCGTTATGGGAACTACAGTCTGTGACAGGAAATTGTCTGTGCGGGTCCAGGTCTTCGTATAGGCCCAATATATCAGTACCTCCCTATATTCGGTATTTTGACGATTTTAGGTACAATACCCACCGAAATTATTTGAGATGTGGTATTTGAAGTTCGTGATGGATGCTACAGCCTGTGACAGAAAATTGTCTATGCTGGTCCAGATCTTCGCACAGCTCCAATTTAACGGCACCTCCTTATATACCATATTTTAATGATTTTAGCTACATTATTCACCGTTTATTTCAAGTTTCGAATTTGAATATGGTAATGGCTTATGACAAACAATGCCTATGTATATCCAAATCCTATATTAAGGATTTGATTTTTTGAAAATTTCCAAATTCGTTGCAAATGGTGGAGGGTATTAAAAGTTCGGCCCGGCCAAACTTATTGCTTTTTAACTTGTTTATGCTGATTTAGTTGACGAATATAGCCAAATAAAATCATACAAATGAGTCTAAATTTGGAGATACAGGGGAGCCTCTAGCTTTTGGAGATGATCGCAAAATTTTTAGGGGTTCAAATAACCCAAAAACAGAAAAATTTCCTGATCACACAATTGAAGCCAAAAGACACGCCTGAGAAGAGAGTTAAGGTCAGGGAAGAACTCTAACATTTTGGATGACCATTGGATTTTATTTAATTGTAAAATGGACCACAAAAACTAACAGCACGATGGAGCGCTTAAATATTGGTCAAATGTCCCTGGTCAAAATGCTAAGGTTGATATCTGGCCAGTGCTTCGTGACATAATTTTAAAAGCGAAATCTTCCGAAATGGATTTGGACATAAGGCGGCTTCTAACATATTGTAGTGTTGTAGGATATCACATGGTCGGCCACGCTCGACTACAGAATTGTCCATATTCGACGGACCCATCTGACAACGCCATAACTTTTGACAGAGATGTCACATCGCTTAATGACATACCGCGTTTGAAGCGTCAGTCCAAGCAAATTTTTACCATGAGTCAATACACGCCACGCGAGCGCTCTGAAATAGTTGAAATTTACAAGGCTCTTTCTAATCCGAAGAGGCCATATAAAAGTCGACCAAGGCGATCGGGCGAGAATATCGCTGCCGTACGAGCCAGTGTTAAAAGGTCCCCAAGAACATCCCAAAAAACGCCGTTCTCAGCAGTTGGGTATGGCTCGGTCCACTTTACAACGGATTATTCGCATTGATTTGCATTTGTTCCCGTACAAAATTCAATTGACGCAAAGAATGTTGCCTGCCGACAAGCCTCGTCGATTGGAATGGGCCCAAAGGTCCATCTAATATGGGCGACCCTGTATAGCCTTTTGTATAAATTCCACTTGGAATTTATTCCCAAAAATTTATTTTTTATATGCACATACCTATTGATCGATTACAGATACAGTCTCCAAATTTGGAATGCGTAACAGAATTTGAAACAAAAAGGAATTTATCGAATTATATTGAAATGGGTTCAGATTTAGATATAGTTCTCATATACATTTTCGGGCCATTTCAAGTATTTGATGCACCAAACACGCTATGTATCTCTAATTTCAATGAAATTTGAATATACATTTGCCAAATTATATTGAAATCGGTTCAGATTTAGATATAGCTCCCATATATATTTTCGACCGATTTCGTTAATTTGATGCAGCAAACACGATATGTATGTCCGATTTCAATGAAATTCAGACGGAGAGACAAAATCCGGTGCCAAAAATATTTGCCAAATTTTATTGACATCGGTTAAGGTTTGGGTATTGGGTATATATTTCGGCCGATTTCATGCATGTTATGCACCAAACACGATATATATGACCGATTCCAATGAAATTCAGTATATGTGGCGGAATTTGGCTACAAAAATAAATTTGACAAACATTTGACGCACCAATTTCAATGAAATATAGAAGGACTGGCGGAATTTGGGATAAAAGTAAATTTTGTCAAATTATAATGAAATCGGTACAGATTGGGATATGATTTTATTAAGAAGCATTGACGAATAACGCTATGGCAATGGTATTAGGCCAATAGTAAAAAACTACACAGCAATTTAATTGAGGTTACGATTATTACGGGGAAGTATGTTGCTACCTCGAATTCACTAATTGCGACAGAAATGCCACTTAACTTTAAAAGATTGCCGTTTCCTGCATGCTTGGCATTTGCCATAAAATTAGTAAATCTGAAGGACAAACTCTTCGGGTATGCATGGCAAGTTCCTGGTTTTCTCATGGTCAGCTGTTCCTGTCATGTTCACGCGTTGGTAGGCCGAGCTATTTGTTTATTTTCACATTAGGTATAACACTACTTTTTTATTTTAAATTGTTGAATTTGTTTTAATTTTTTAAATGAACATATATTCGTATATAAAATTTTGAATGCACATTAAATCAAAAGGGGTAGCGAAGCGTACCGGGTTTAGCTAGTTTCAATATTATTTTGACAAATTTATTTTATTGACGATATATATCGGAAACAATAAAGCTCTGGAATTGAAAATATATTTTTACAGTTACTGTGGTACCATTATACGGTACGACACAAAATATAATTACAAAAAAACCCAGAAGATTAGAAAAGTAGACGTAAAAATAGGAGTCCCGTGCATCGGTGTGTAAAGGACAAGATGCAACCTATTCCACATTTTTTAAATTATTGGAATAAGATCCCTTCAAACTCTTGCAGTTTAGGCATACCGTGTCTGAAGTAATATTTCTTTTTTACAAAACGATGAATGTTATGGTCTAAAATTGTAACCCTTAAGCTAGTCACCATAGGGGTCTTTTGGTTCTTTTTTCATAAAATGTTTTGGAAAGACTAAGACTTGGGGCACACAATCTAAAATGGTCTAATGGCGGGCATATTAAAATAACCATATACATTTTTGAATAATGAAACTTTTTGTAGAATGGGCCAGACAACTTTTCTTAAATCACATATGGGTTTGAATATCCACTTACATAAAATGGACTTTACTACTCTCAGAACTTGCGGGGAGGATGATAAAACCTTAGAGCAGATCTTCAGGTTATCTGTATGTTCATATGGACTTGTGGTAACACAGGCTTCGGCCAATATTTACACAAACTGTATCGTAATTCATACAAATCTGAAAACAATACACAAATAAGATTTTTTAAATATATTTGAATTGTCGAAAATATTATTTTGAGGGCCTTACCAAAGTAGTTGTGTTGTATACACAAATATCCAGCTTCTCCCCATAACGAAGTATTTTGTACGGCCGTACTACACGAAATCGCATGGGCCCTAACTCAATTCAAATCAACCAAAGTTCAAAAACTTTAGAAAAATTTAATTCCTTTGACAAATAAATATTATGTTTTTATTTTCTAATTTGAATACTTCAATTCAAATAGCCAAAAGACTATCACTGCGTTACCTAAAATTCGACGTACTCAGTCGACATTTTTCACCACACAAGTAAAAAACATGTACTTATATGGGAGTTACCCAAATTCGTCGGGCGTATGAAATTTCAAAGATATAAAATTTCAACATTGAACAATTTCTTTTTCCGATATGGACCTGACGTATTTGGGTAATACGGACGTACAAAACATTTAACCATAGTGGTGAAGTTGAATATTTGTGTACGCTACGTCGAATTTTATGTAACGCAGTCAAAGTTGCCAACATGGTAGAATTAGTGTGTTAAAGTCATGCAATCATATGTATACAATTTTTTATACCCTACACCACAAGGTGGTCAGGGTATTATTTCTTTGTGCATTTGTTTGTAACAGGCAAAAGGAAACGAGACAGACCCATAGTTTCTTTTGATGATCTGCATAGAATCACATTCTGAGTCGATTTATGCATGTCCGTCCGTCTGTGCGTCCGCCCGACTGTCTGTGTGTCCGTCTATCCGTCTGTCCATGTATTTTTTGTAAACAAAGTACAGGTAGCAATTATTGCCTGATTCAGATGAAATTTTGGACAAATAATTTGTTAGACCCAAGGACGAACCCTATTGAAATTGCAGATAATCGGTCAAAATTTAGATATAGCTCCCATATATATTAACGTCCAATTTGCTTTATATTGTGCACCAAACATGTAATATCAGCCCAAATAGTATGAAAATAAGTATGCCAAATTTGATCGAAATCGGTCAAGATATAGATATAGCTCCCATATATTGTTCATCCGATTTGTTATTTTCGTCATCCGCAGCCGTAATATGCAGTCTGTAACAACGATATTTGGGGAAATATATCAGATATTACTTAGAAATACCCTCGCTAAATTTTATCGAGATCGGTTCAGATTTGGATATAGCTCCCATATATATCTTCGTCCGCTTTGCCTTTTATTGTGTACCAAACGTGTAATATTAGCCCAAATAAAATGGAATTTGGTACTTACGACCAAATTGAGTCTAGAAACCAGTATGTCAAATTTGGTGCAAATCGGTTCAGATATAGTTATAGCTCCCATACATATTGTTCATCTGATTTGTTAAATTTGCCCTGCATAGCTATAATATGGACTCCGTAGTAACGATATTCGGGGACATATATCAAATACAGCTCAGAAATACCTTTGTTAAGTTAATTGGGCACCAAACGGATAATACAAGCCCGAATTAAAAAGGAGCAAATACCTCGACAAATTTAGTATAAATCGATTCAGAGGAGAATATTCCTTCCATATATTTGTTCCTCTGGTCTTTTAATTATTACTATAATCATAGTAGGCATGGTACAATAAGGAGGTAGAACAGCTTCGTAAAACTACAGAAATACAGCCCTGAGGCTAAGCCCGCTTCCTGTCAGAAATATTCAAAATTATAGGCAACAAGTTGTTTTCATTTATTTAATATTTTTTTGGCCATTTCTAAAATGGGTCAATTAGAGCAAAAGATGAAAAAATGCCTGGATGTTCTGTCAAAAATATGATCCTAAGTGTTTAACCCTTTCAGTGTCAATGAAAATTTTTGTCGAGATAAAAATCTGAAATTCCGTACTAATTTACTAAAATGTGCTCAGAAATTCGAAAACGAAACTAATAGAATATAACTGCAATATTTTTAAATAGCGAACGTGTCTGTTATTAAAAAATATCAAAACTAACGGTTCGTAAGAAAAACAAAAAATGGCAAAGAAAGAGAGTACTTTTAAATGTCAAATATATTTGACAAAAACACTGAAAGGGTTAATCTTTCAATTCATTGGCAAATCTTGTTTATATTACTAATGCGCGCCACGCAATTTAAGCTTCTTCCAATCATTGATTTTGAAAATATTTTGTTTTTATTTTTCAAAACAACAAATACATACACAAAATTGGCAGAAGTCGGGCACACTCAAAAAAAAAATTGTAATCAGCTGGGAGCTCTTCCTTACCTTTTTATTGTACCATGATAGTAGGTATGATTTAATTCTCACAAATTCCCCATAAATACTTTTATTTGTTATGTGAAGCTCTACTAAATATGCAAAGTGGTGTAGGGTATCATATCATAAAGTCGCCCACGCCCGACTGTGAGAATTTCTTTACTGGTTTCCTTTAATAGCGTAAACAAATAAATCGATAGGTCTACCCTCACGTGAACATACCAGGAACAGCTGACTATGAGAAAAGCAGAAACGTGCTATATTTATTCCGCATGCACAAAGAGTTTGTCCTCGAGATTAATTAATTGTCATAGCAAATGCTGTACGCTTCGCAATTTTATTAAGTTGAACGGCACACTTACCCTATCCTCAATTGTTGTACAGTTTTTTCTTTAATGTTAGCCTTGCACCATAGCAAAGGCGAGATGGGTCTATGTTCCTTAATTAAACAATATCCGAATCTGAAACCTTTTGAATATAAATGGACAAATACATTTTTAGACCAAATTTAATCAAACATTCCAAATTTCAGTCATATTTGACATACACAGGGTGTTTGATGTATCAAATATATATTAAATCGGCAGAAACTATATATGGGTTCTATATCCAAACCTGAACAGATTACAATGTAATTTGACAATAAAAAAAAAAAAAAAAAAAAAAAATACCAAATTCCACCACATATTACAAATTTCATTGAAATTGGGTATACATAGCGTGTTTCATGCATCAAATACATGAAATGGGACGAAAATATATATGTGAGCTATATCCAAATCTGAATCGATTTCAATATAATTTGACAAATTAATTTTTGTTCCCAATTCTCTTACTCATTGCAAATTTCATTAAAATTGGGAATACATATCGTTTTTGATGCATCAAATATATGGAATCGAACGAAAATATATATATATGGGAGCTATATACAAATCTGAACTGATTGCAATATAATTTAAAAAATATATATTTTCGTACCGAATTCAGTTACATATTTCAAATTTCATTGAAATAAGAGACATGAAATCGGCCGAAAATGTATATGGGGGCTATATATTAAAATCTGAACCGATTTCAATATAATTTGGCAAATCATTTTTTGGGAATATAGGGTGAGATGAAAAAACTGCAACCAACTTCAGACTGCTGCCATTTCTAAGCCATTCTAAGCCGTTCGACAGCTGTTAAAATTATTTCAGTGACAGCTCATTTTATTGTTTACAAGCGTACAAAAGCATTTTGATGAGAATTTTCCAGAAAAAAACTTATTCGTAATAGAATTTAAGTGTGATAGTGTGAATTCTTTATATTTGGCTGGCTATCGTGAGAGCACTCCAGCGTTTAAATGTGAATAAATCTTTTGTTTCTCGTACCATCGCTCGTTACCGTGATATTGGTAGCGTAGCCCGACGTCAAGGAAGTGGACGGAAGAAAACAGCAACATTATCAGAAATGGTTCGAAAAGTAAAGAAGCGACTTGATCGAAACCCGCGTCTCAGTGGCCGAAAAATAGCTCTTGAGCTGAACATATCGCTATATTCCATTCGGCAAATACTGAAAAATGAGCTCGGGGAAAAGCAATTGAAATCCCAAAAAGTGCAACAACATACACCGGAACAGAAAGAAAATAGACTCAAAAGAGCTAATGAGTTCCTTCGCTTTGCCGAAAGTGGTGAACTGCCGAATTTGGTTTTCTCTGAGGAGAAAACATTCGTTGTCCAGCAGTTTGTAAACAAACAAAATTATCGTGTTTACTTGTCAAAGAGGTCTGTTCAATTGGCCATCAGAACTCAAGCGCCGGTGAGGGCCGCCATAATAGCTGATGGACGTTCTCCGTTCGTATTAATCGACCGTGGCATCAGAATAAAACCGAATATTATCGCGAAAACATGCCAGAGGGTGTATTAAAGCCTTTGGTACGCAAACATTTTGGCCGCAGACATCCCGACAGGACTCAGCACCATCGCACTCAGCACGCGCCACACAAGAATGGTTTCAAAATGAGGTTCCTCGCTTCGTTTCCAGCGCACAATGGCCAACAAATCTCCGGATTCCAATCTGTTGTACTATTGTGTCTGGAGTGTTTTGGAAAGCTAGGTAGGCACTGCCAACCAAAGTGTCGATGACCTCATGCAAGCGCATTGCCGGGAATGGGCCAAAATACCGCAGAGCAACATTCGGACAGCGTGTGACGGTTTTATTGGCCGTTTGAAGTCATTATTCGTGCCAAAGGTGATCAATTTGAACAAATCTAAACTTATTCTAAAATTTGGTGCTATTTCCGACATATTTGCTTTCATTCAATAAAATTTAAGAAAAAGTAAAAATTTGACTTTGTTGCAGTTTTTTATATCACCCTGTACATAGCGTGTTTAAGCATCACATTTATGACAACCATGTTCATTTTCGCTTCAAATTCCGTTGCACATTCCAAATTTCATTAAAATTAAAGATTCATAGCTTGTTTGGTGCATCAAATACATGATATCGGCCGAACATATATATGGGAGCTATATCCTAATCTGAACCGATCAACCAAATTTGCAAGGTCTAAGAGCCAATCAATGGAAAAGTAGAATATTGGACACTCGTTTAGCTAGTTTTATTGGTACATTGTAACCAAATCAGTGTATATATCGGTTATTCAATGAAGTATTGACAATTCTCACTTCTGGCAGAGTTGTCAAACTAAATAGCAAATTTAGTCCAGGGGCTTGATTCTTGTTCTAAGAAAATTTGAAATGAAAAATGTTTTCTTTATAATTTTTTATACCCTACAACACTATGTGTTGGGGGTATTATAAGTTTGATTGGGCCAGAATTTATGTAACACCTCGAAATATTGGTTTCCCATATAGGAAAGTATATATGGATCTTCCTAGCTGGCCGAGCTGAGTCGATCTAGCTATGTATGTCCGTCCGTCCGTCTGTCCGTCTGTCCGTCTGTCCATGTTAATTTGTAATCACTCTACAGGTCGCAATTATGGTCCGATCTTCACGAAATTTAAAATGGAGGTGGGGTTAGGGTCAGAATAGAAGCCTATTTCTTTTGGAGATGATCGCCAAATGTTTAGGGGTTTAAATGGACCAAATACTGAAAAAATGTCGGATTTTGCAGTAGCTATACAGGTCGCAAT